TGGGTGTGTAGCTGGGGGGTGTAGCTGGGGGGTGTAGCTGGGGGGGTGTAGCTGGGGGTGTGTAGCTGGGGGTGTGTTGCTGGAGGTGTAGCTGGGGTGTAGCTGGGGGGGTGTGTAGCTAGGGGTGTATAGCTGGGGGGTGTAGATGAGGGGGGCAGCAGAAGGGTGTAACTGGGGGTGTGTAGCTGGGGGGGTGTAGTGGGGGGTGTGTAGCTGGGGTGTAACTGGGGGTGTAGCTGGGGGTGTAGCGGTGGGTTGTAGCTGAAGGGGAGAGGGGAGTGAGATACGGGGAGAGAGTAAGAGAAAGGGGGAGAGAGAGTGGGAGAGGGACGAATGGAATAAAAGATGGCAGAAACAATGGGAGAAAGAATGGAGAAACAACAGAAAAGGGGAGAAGCGTTAGGAAACACGACACACAGAGACGAAAGCAGGAGAGAGAGAGTCACAGTGGAGGAAAGAGTAGATAGCTTTTCCTAGTTCTGCATCTCTCCTTTGGTACAAATTTTGTTGTGCTTTTATCATATATTTCACAAAACTTGACATACATTTCATTTACTTTCATGTCCTATCAGCAAGTGTTTGTCAAATTCTTTAAGGAAAGTTTATCATCCTGATTGCAGATTTCTAGCGATATTATGTCAACTTCTTGTGGATTCGCAATCATTATTTAATTTACCTTAGGTGTTCTTTCACCAGCACAGCAACACTGTACCTCTCCCAACCAGTTTAAGATAAAAACTAAGTACTAACTAATTAACTCAATGTAACCTACCTTACCCCCAAAATGACAACCATGTCTTCTATTTTAAACAATGCTGTTTTGTTGACCAAATTGTATTTTTGTTTTTTTCTGCAATGTTTCCCCCCCCCCCACCACTCTACCCACCACATTGAGTTTAGTTAGCTCTGTGCACGTCAGGTGCTGTTTAATATACAGACCTACTCCTCCATTTGACCTAGTTTCTCTATCACATCTATATCACTTTGTGCTTTAGCCCTGGTGGAGCTTGGTCCACCAGGCTGTTGTTTGGAGTGGCCCGCAGATCCACATACAGTCTGCATATGATATACAGTCTGTTGATCAATTAAACTACAGTAGTTAGTTTTTATCATCCGAATGCACCAATATGTGTTCATTCTTCCCAGATGAAGGAACTAGGTAATATTCATCATCTGAATGCACCATCTGATGCTTTAACACACTCATGATACACGAGAGGTTTAAAAAACTTTTAAAACTTTTAAAACTTTTTGACCTATGTATTTAAAAGCAATTCTAAAGTTTAGAATTTTTTAGAATTTTTTAGAATTTTTTAAAGTTTTAAAAGCAATTCTAAAGCAGTTGGCCCCTACGGGCCAACTGCTTTGTTTCTTACCTAGCATTTTGCTTTTTTGGGTATGAATGTTTGTGTGCCGTATATTTTGCAAAATTTGCCATATATCTCATTATTTCACTCCTCTGCCTAGCAACAAGTCTGTCTAATTATACTCATTAACTGTTTT